TCATCACTGTGTCTCTCCCTCAGGCCCTCTCATAGACACACGCCCATATCACAGAGAGCACAAATATCAATTAGTCGACCTGCCAGACCCCTTTTGAGGGCCCCGGGAAGCCAGCACCGGGTTCCTTGACGGCAGTAAGTGGCCCCCTCAAAATTTCTTTGAAACTTTTCTAGTTAGGGGGGCCACTGCCAGCGGCATTCCTTCCTATTACAATACAAAATAGTTGTTCAACGGCTTATTAGGAGGGCCACTGCCAGCAACAGGTCCCCCTGTTACTCTTCGCCATATTTATTCCGCAAATTATTAGGGGGGCCACTGCCAGCGGCAGGCCCCGCTATTACTATCCGAGACACTTATTGCGGGGCTTATTAGGGGCGCAACTGCCAGCGGCAGGCCCCCCTATTACTATCCAAATTACTTATTCCGGTTTATCAGGCAGCCCCAGATATTACTATCCAAAATACTTATCATGGTATTTATTAGGGGGGCCACTGCCAGAGGAAGGCCCCCCATTACTATCCAAAATACTTATTCCACGGCTTATAACTGGGGCCCACTGCCAGCAGCAGGCCCCGCTATTACTATCCCAAATACTTATTGCTGGGCTTATTAGGGACTTATTAGGCAACTCACTCCTATTACTATCCAAAATAATTATTACGGCACTTATTAGGGGGGCCAATGCCAGCGGCAGGCCCCCAATTACTATCCAAAATACTTATTCCGCGGCTTATTAAGAGGGTCAATGCCAGCAGCAGGCCATCCATTACTATCCAAAATACTTATTCTGGCACTTGTTGGGAAGCCACTGCAAGCAGCAGGCCCCCTAATTACTATCCAAAATACTTACTCAGGGGCTGATTAGGAGGGCCACTGCCAGCGGCAGGTCCCCCTATTACTATTCAAAATACTTATTCCGCGGCTTATTAGGGGGGCCGCTGCAGCAGCAGGCCCCCCTATTACTATCCAAAATATTTATTCCGCTACTTATTAGGGGGGCCACTGCCAGCGGCAGGCCCTGCTATTACTATCCAAAATACTTATTCTGCTACTTATTAGGGGGGCCACTGGCAGTGGCAGGCCCCCCTATAACTATCCAAAATATTTATTTCTGGGATTATTGGGGGGCCACTGCCATCGGCAGCCCCCCCATGACTATCTAAAATATTTATTCCGAGGCTTATTAGGGGGGCCACTTCAAGCGGCAGGCCCCCCTATTGTTATCCAAAATACTTATTCCGTGGCCCATTAAGGTGGCAAGTGCCAGCAGCAGTCCCCCCTATTACTCTTTGCAATGTTTATTCTGCAAATTATTAGGAGGGCCACGGCCAGCGGCAGGTCCCCCTATTATTATACAAAATATTTATTCTGGCACTTATTAGGGGGGCCACTGCCAGCGGCAGGCCCCCCATTACTATCCAAAATACTTATTCCAGGGCTTATTAGGTAGCCCCCCCATTACTATCCAAAATACTTATTCCGCGGCTTATTAGGGGGGCCAGTGCCAGCAGCAGGCCATCCATTACTATCCAAAATACTTATTCCGGCACTTATTAGGGAAGCCACTGCCAGCGGCAGGCCCCCCATCACTATCCAAAATACTTATTCCGTGGCTTATTAGGGGGGCCACTGCCAGCGGCAGTTCCCCCTATTACTATCCAAAATACTTATTCCGTGGATCATTAGGGGGGCCACTGCCAGCAGCAGGCCGGGCGTTTCTGAGCAAACGCCAAAGAAGTGGCGAAATTTGGCCATAGGAATGAATGGGGCAGTCGACAATGGGGCCCAAAAAAAAACGAGAGATGAGGCCCGTCAGGGGGACCCAGCACAAAAGATGGGGGAGCCAACGGGCAGTAGGTGGCCACTCCCCTTAAAATTTCTGGAGAAATGTTCTAGTTGTGTGTAAACTGTCGTCTGTTTTTCTGTTTAAATAGCCTGTGTTTCTCCTTGTCCGGCGGCACTGTGTTTACTCATATAATCTAGGAAAGCAGCCACTTTCAATCAACATTGAATTTGAGACGAGCTTCAAAACTACTAATGTAAGTTTGTTGTTGAGAGATCCACTTAATATAAGTTATTCATCAAATTATTCATCTATTCATATTTATCTATTTTTTTACATATATAACTAATTTTTTATTTTATTTAATTAGGAGAAACAAGTGGTTAACTATGCTGGCGTGTGTGTTGCTTCATCATTCTCACCTGAAATTTATTTCAGCCACAGTAACGTGTGTTTTTTTCTTTTTACAGAATGGCTCTAAGAGGAGTGTTGTTTAATAAGATACGAGGCCAATATTATAAACCTCCACCCCTGCGAATCGAAATCCGAGGAAGCAGGGAAGAAAAGAGTCCTCTTATGGGATTTCGGCAGTGGTGGGCCATCAGGGCCTGCAAGGCCTTCTCTGCTGGCTTAAGAAAATATCTGAATCACAGACTGATGTTAATTATATTTTGTCCATTAATACTCATCAAATATCTCTAAATGGTCTGTCCTCCGTTCAGCCTTTTTTCTCTTCAACTCTTCTGCTTCCTCCATTCAGCTTTTGGGATTTTTTCTAGTTGAAATCAATGGAACAAAAAATATGGCTCCATCTGCTGGTCATTGGCATTTCTTCCCCTTCAGATTTTTCTATGTATTCCTCTGGTGTGTTTAAGCCTGTGGTATAGCTCAGTGGTAGAGTGTTTCACTGCAGATCCAGAGGTTGCTGGTTCAAATCTGAGTGGATCCACCTGGCCTGATTGCTGATTGTGTTTCAGCTTTTGTTTGTTATCTTCTGGCGCCATCTTCTGGTGATTTTAAAATGATTGAATTTTCAGGTCTTTGAAATTATTCCTCCCTTCAGCTTTTTTCCAACTCTTCTGCTTCTTCTATTCAGCTTTAGGCATTCTCACAGCTGTTCCGCAGTTTTTTCACAATAATAAAAGTCAAAACTATTTACCAGACAGTCTGAAGCTACAGACTTAGTTTCAATCATTTTCACTTCAATCTATAACAAAATTCTTCACATTTAAAAAATGGCCTCAAAAACTACTGAATAGCTTTGCAGGTTTAAAGAAAAGAATATTAAAAAATGTTTTCTAATCATCCTCCCTGAGCCTTTTCAGTAAAATTCTAA